ACACCCTATAGCACCTATAGATGCTACGCATCCTCCCCGCATCCCCTATAGCTCCTGTAGCCCCTACAGCTTCTCTGCATCCCTTGTAGCCCCCATAGCACCCCTGTACCCCTTATAGCCCCTATAGATACTCTGCACCCCCCTGCCTCCCCTATAGCCTCTATAGCACCTATAGTTCCCCCGTACCCCCTATAGCGTCTATAGATGCTCTGCTTCCCCTATAGCCCCTATAGCCCTCCTGCACACCGTATAGCCCCTATAGATGCTCTGCATTCCTGTCGCATCCCCTGTAGCTCCTATAGCCCCTACAGGTTCTTTGCATCCGCTATAGCCCCCCTGCACCCTCTATAGCTCCTATAGATGCTACGCATCCCCCTTGCATCCCCTATAGCCACTATAACCCCTATATATTCCCTGCATCTTCTATAGCCCCCATAGATATTTTGCATTCCCTGCATCTCCTGTAGCCCCTATAGCCCCCCTGCATCCCCTATAGCCCCTATAGATGCTCTGCATCCCAGCTGAATCTGCTATAGCCCCGATAGCCCGTATAGGTTCCCTGCATCCCCTATAGCCCTCCGGCACCCTCTATAGTCCCTAGAGATACTACACATCCCTCCCGCATTCCCTATATCCCCTATAGCCCCTATAGTCTCCATGCATCCCCTATAGCCCCCATAGCCTCCCTGCACTTCCTATAGCCCCTATAGATGCTCTACATCCCCTGCATCCTCCGTAGCCCCCATAGCCTCCCTCCACCCCCTATAGCACCTATTGATGCTACGCATTCCCCTCGCATCCCTTATATCCTCTACAGCCCTTATAGGTTCCCTACATCCCCTATAGCCCCTATAGGCTGCCTACATCCCTTATATCCCCTATAGCCCTTATAGGTTCCCTACATCCCCTATAGCTCCTATAGGCTCCCTACATCCCCTATAGCCCCTATAGGCTCCCTGCATCCCCCTGCACCCCCCATAGCCCCTATAGATGCTACGCATCCCCTCTGCATCCCATATGGCCCCTATAGCCCCTATAGGTTCCCTGCATCTCTCTGCACCCCCTATAGCCCCTATAGATGCTACACATCCCTTATAGCTCCTATAGGCTCCCTGCATCCCCCTGCACCCCCTATAGCCCCTATAGATGCTACGCATCCCCTCTGTATCCCATATGGCCCCTATAGCCCCTATAGGTTCCCTGCATCTCTCTGCACCCCCTATAGCCCCTATAGATGCTACACATCCCCTATAGCCCCTATAGGCTCCCTGCACCCCCTATAACCCCTATG